AAAAAAGAGGAATTTAACCCCTGACTATTGTTTTCCTAAACGTTAGGATTGTGGTAGTCTCTCGTGTTAAAGTAAGGGCATGATATGTGTTATGTTAAATTTTGCGCATCTATCCTAATTCGTATTACCTTACTAGAACCTGACATATTTAATTTTAAAAAAAGCACTCGAATAATAATCAGTATATAATAATCAGTATAATAAATCAGTATATAATCAGAGTATATAATCAGTATATACGCTTATAATTATGTAATTCTTTTTATATACTTTTATATACTTTTATATATATATATAGTTATTTAAAATGAATTAAAAAATTCAAAAATAAAATTAGAAACTTCTTTTGGGAACACGGAAGGTAGTACTAAATTAATAGCGTTGAGATCGTTAATCAGATCATTTTTCTTCACCAATCAAAATAAATGAATAAATAAAAATTGATTTCCGATAAGATCGTCGGTGTAAATAAAGCTCCGATCATCTCGGTAGATCATTTTCTTTATCGCGTTCAAAGTGTTCCGATAGGGCTAAATCAAAATGTAAATATTACAAAACTTTCAAGTTATCTGATTACGTAGAAAAAAAAGTTTCTTATCAAGATAAGTTTGATAAACTTATTATTACATGGTTACATTGTACTGTATAAAAGTTTTAATTAAAACAATTTTTAATACTTTTAATTTTATATAGATTTATTTGTTTAAAATCTTAATGAATTTTTTATTTTTTATTTTTATTTTTACTTTTGTAATGTTTTTTTTTATTATAACTCGCATAACGTGATCCCTTTAAAAAAAAAAAAAAAAAAAAAAAAAGGATCAAAATAAAAAATTTTTTGTAATTTTTTTTTTTTTGTCCAATCAAACCAATCAACCAGTTAGCCAATCAAGTAATATTACCACAAAAAAAAAAAACCTAGACAAATTGACAAAATAAATAAATAAAAAATATTTTTTAAAAAAAATTAGTACTAATATAATAATAATATATATAATGTGTAATATATGCAATAAAAATATAAAAAAAAATAAAAAAAAATATAAAATAAATAAATAAATAGAGAAATAAATAGAAAAATAAATAAAGAAATAAATAAATGATAATGTTTGTGCAAAACTTTTTTTCAAATCAAAATAATAAAATAATAGAATAATAGAATAATAGTAGCAGATTTATCAAAAAAATCTAAGATATTCTAAGTTTTTTTTTTTAAACTATTTTCAGATGGACGATGGTTCGGGTAACGTTGAATTTTTAATCTCGTAGGTTATTTAGACATTCTTATTTGGCGAGCATATAGATTATGGCATGTTTTTTTTTAAAGTAGATATTTGTAGAAAAATAAGGATGTTGAGTGTTCATTGATCTTTACTAGCTTAAAAACAACTAATGCTATAATTTTGTCGTGCGATTTGTCTTTATGCTCATAAATGTGTAGTTTTTTTTTGTTTTTTTTTTTTTAGCATGTTTAATCGTATTTTCCAAAATCATTATGATTGAAAGATTCCTTTCAATTGCATTCCTGCATTCCGTCTTATTCCATCTTGTTGTCAATTCCGTTTTCTCTTTCCTCACTTAATAAATTTTCCTGCCCATGTACCAATAATCGTGATAATAAAAAAAAAAAGAATCAAGAAAAAAAATTTACAAAGATTCTCAGTAAAAAAAATTTTTTTTTTGTTTTTAATACCAAATGCGACAACACCCTCCAAAATGTATTTATAAAAAAAAAATAAAGATGTACGTGTATGTATATCAAAAATGCCCAAATGATGCATTGAAAATCCCCCAAAAATGCCCTTTAAAGAATTTCCATACTATATTTTATCTTTTGTAAAACATAACGTTATAAAAAGTGTAGTATGGAAAAGTAACATGGAATATTAGAAAACTCATTAATCCTAACATAGTAATGAATTTACACTCATCCTAGTAACAGACGTAGAGTCCGATTCGGAACCAAGTCTTCTTACACGAGACTCGGAATCCCTTGAAATGATACTTTCACGTTCATTATTAGAGAATTGTGGTGTTGGTACATCATTATTATTTGGTATATGATGAAAATGTGATGAACGATCAAGTTGATTATGTTCAAATGATGAGTCTATAACAGGTTTTGCATCCATTTCTTGATAATATATATTATTATCAGATGATCTATTTGGTAAAGATCGTCTATCAGGTAACATGGGTGGAGATGAATCAGTTCTAGGGATATTTTGTGTAACTGGAGTGAATGAGTTAGGATAATGATGAGTCCTCTGATGCGAATGAAAATCGGTAGGATTTTGCGAATTAGGTGGAGGAGGAGCAGTTTCTATATATATAGATGATTGATTCAAATCTTGTCTTGGTGATGATACAGGACTTAAAAGACCAAATTTTCCTGTACCTATATTTGAAGCATCATTCGATGAATGAGGAGACATCGAAAGTAGAGCCGGA